AAGAAGGAAGGCTAAAATATACCCTCCAATTCTGGATTGGAATCAGAGGTATTTGCATAAGCTCACCGTTAATACACCCAAATACCAAAGTGTAGATGGGCATATATGTATGGGTTAGTGTACATCGGCATATTTCCTACTTCTGTTCACTGAGAGGGCCTAGAAGCAGTAACACCCCAGAAATAATGAGCAGACCTACTGCCCAGACCTCAGTCTGCGAACATTGTCTTCCAGTATAAAGAACCAGCACTCCTAGGAGAAGTGGTTGATTACAGGGCTAGGTCAGGAAAACTGCAGAATGAGCCTGCAGTATCTTATGATTCCAAAAACTAAGGATTTGAAGGAGCTTCTGATGGCCAAAGCTGGAACAATTTGAGCAACAAAATAATGTCAATGTTGGATTTTAGCCAACGGAATAAAATAAATATCAATGAGTGTATTTGTTTTTTGTTCTTTTAACAAAGTACTACACACTTAGCAGTTGAAAACAACACACATACCCTGTCTCACAGTTTCCATGGCCAGGCATCCAGGCACAGCCTCGTTTGGTCCTCTGTTTAGGGCCTCATAAGGCTGCGGAGTGTCAGATAGTCTGTCTTCTCATCTGGAGGCTCAACGAGGAAGAATCTGCTTCCAATCTCATTCAGATTATTGGAAAAATTGCCTGCGGTTGTGGAAGTGAGGCCCTCAAGTTCTGGAGGCTGCCTGTCCTTGCCATGTGGCTCAGTTCGCATCATGGGAGCTTCCTTCTTTAAGACCATTGGAAGCACGGGTCTGGTCAGAGAAGCCTGGGTCCTCTTTGAAAGTCGGGTCTGCACAACATCGTCACCCTTTTGATTATCTCAAAGCCAGCCGATTAGGGACTTTAATTATATCTGTAATACGCCTTTAATTTTGCCATGTAATGTAATTTTAGGAGTGATATTTCATTACTTTTGTTATATTCTTAGGTTAAAGCCAAGTCATGGGTTCTGCCCTCCGTCAAGAAGTGGGGATTACACGATGATGTGACTTGCTGGAAGTCATCCTGTAGCGTGTCTTCTACAATGAGTTTTTGTGGATAAAAATAAATAGTCTTAGGCGCCTGGGTGGCTCAGTTGGTTAAGCAACTGCCTTCGGCTCAGGTCATGATCCTGGAGTCCCGGGATCAAGTCCCACATCGGCCTCCCTGCTCAGCAGGGAGTCTGCTTCTCCCTCTGACCCTCCTCCCTCTCATGCTCTTTGTCTTTCATTCTCTCTCTCGCAAATAAATAAAATCTTAAAAAAAAAAATTTTTTTTAAATAAAAAAAGAAAGAAATAGTCTTATAAATACATACACAAATGGGGAAGAAGAGCTAGTTCTTCCTCACAATAGATTTCCATTAATAAATGCAGAAAGAAAGAAGGGAATAAAGGATCATCATTACAAACAGTATTGTAATAAACATTACAGACAGGGTTCTGTAATGGATGCTAAAGTTAGTGAGTGCAAGTTTGAGAGGGACAGGATTTGCATAGTCTCCAATATCTTCCCTAAGATACTCACAACTACAAAGGACAAAATAGTAATTTTATATTGGAGAGATTTGGTTGACACCTAACTTTTACCAAATTATCAAGGTAAACAGCACCAGAAATGAAACATACCAATGTCATGAGTAGTACTCTCCAAAAGCATCAAGTTCATAAAACATAAGGAAAGACTGAGGGTCTTTTATAGGCTGGAGGAGACTAAGGAGAAATAACTAAATGCAGTGTGAGATCCTAGAATGGAAGAAAGAAAAACAATGGTGAAATTCAAATAAGATCTTTAGCTAATAGTGTGGTACCATGTTAAGTGCTTCTAGATAATTGTATTATGGTTATATAAGATGTGAACACCAGGGGACATGGGCTAAAGGATTTATAGGAACTCATTGTACTCATTTTGTAATTTCTTTAAGTGTAAAATTAAAAGTTTTTAATAAAAAAATCATGGTATAGACTTCTGAGAGTTTTAAGTTGTCAACAGTAGAAATTCAGGTGACTTATTGATGCTTCATTTTTATTTTGTCGCACCAAGATTTTGTACAATATTGTATATATGGTCATTGGAGAATGAATACATAGCTGTAAAGTGGTGGGGTTTATTCTAACTCAGCATAGTTTTTTCCAGTTGTAAAGTTTTTTCCATTGTGTTTGCATCATTATAGACACAGACAAGGAGGAAATGGCTTTCTTTAAAAACTCCGTTTTAATGTTAAAGCCTTCCCATAAAGTTTGTTTGTTTACTATGCATGGCAATATTCTCTTTTAAAATAATTACCAAATTTTGTTTAAAAGGTTTTACTTACGAGAAACATATGTCCTGTAAAAATCTATGGTTTTGAGGGTATTTATTTAATTCATTTGGTTCAGAGGGCTCTGAATTGTCTTCTTTATATGGACCATGGACACAAATGAATCCTGTATTATATTTCTCAGACATATATTCTGATTCATCAGCTACTATGACTGTGCTTCGTTCTACCTATGCATATGGAGGATGAAGTTATTTCTTAGTAACTATGAAACTATTGGTGGAAAGATAGGGGGTAAAAACACATGGGGAACTTAAAGCGGTTTGCTCAAATCTGTCTTTACCAGGAAAAGGCTCTTGTTTATTTCTTTAAAGGATGGATTTAATAATAAATGTTCTCATTGCTGTAAAGAGGTATCTGTCTTAGAATTGCACCAGACAAGCATAGTGCTGCTTGGATGTGGCAGTATTTTATGAATTCATGAGATGGGTTTCTTACATCCTTTTTTTATTCTTACTTGATCTATTGTACGTGAGAGCAGTGCCTTGGGCGTGTAAGTAGTGGTGCCTATAGTAACGCAGAATTACTGTTCGCTTTGCTGTCATGGGTCTATGAATTCGGTCCGTCATACAGAAACAATCACTATAATGTAAGCACTTACTGTCTTCATGCAGCTGATTCCCCGGTGACATTTTAAAAAGTCAGGCTTTGGCTGCAGAGTGCTTTCCATTTCTAAATGGGCTGCAGATTTGGGAGCCTTAGGGCATTTCATAGGAAGCACATGACCCTGAGTAGACACAGCAACTTTTGTGTGTCTGTAGCCACATTGATGACCAGTGTTTACCCTTGAAATTGTTTTCATCCAGAATGTTGTTTTTTTTACTTTACATTTAATTATTTGGTGCTCACACTAATTTACTACAAATGTCTAGGAGTAGAATGAATGGCTGAATAGAGGCTGGGCTGTTTGTCCAGGGTTTTTATACACTAGGTGTGGCTGTAACTTACGAGCTACTCGTAGTGGTCTCTCCACACACACTTCTCAGTGTCTATAAATTCAGGTCTTGGTTTTCACTTTATTCGAGAATGAGAAGGGCATTTGAACCCAGGAGCACTCAGAAATACATTCACAGGTTTTACCTGCATTCTCTTCTGAAAGTGAGAAGCCTAAACTCCCAAAAACAATTTCAGGATTTTTAAAATAAGTTCTACTTTCACAACAATGTGTATGTATTATCTAAATGGAAAATCATCTTCCTGCCCCTCTGGCTGCCACAGTTACAGCTGTTATTGGAATTAGTAATGAGTGACAGTCCTGAGAGACTCTGGGGACTGTGCTCTTCCTGGTCTGTAGTCAGGCTGCCTGGCCTCACAGAGATGCCATTGGTTAGAAAGAGGAGAGGGTGATTGTTCAGCATAAAACGCCAGGCTCTGCAGCGTGACCTTCACTGGGTGAATTGGTGGTGATGTTCAATACATCAGTTTCTTTCTCTACTCAGTTGTGATTCTTGTAGCAATATACAAAACCATAGAAAAGTAGGTCCTATGATATCAGAGCAGTTAGCCTGACCTAGCATGATCATAGACCATAGTACCAGAGGGTGATGCAGGGAGATCCATATATGCTTGCATGTATGTATGTATGTATGTATGTATGTATGTATGTATGTACCATGTAGGTATGTATATTTGTCTATTTCGGTCTTTCAGTTTATTTTAGTAAAGGAGGAGATTACAAGATAAAGCAGCAAGGTCTTCATGCCCTGAGAGCTAGCACCTTGAGGATTGGGCTAAATTCAGTTGCCTTCTTCAATAATATTTTTAGTCAAAATGTATCTAAACCTCTGAGCCAGAAAGTGAGTTGAGATCTCAAGTACCTCTGATGATTCTTAAATTTCAAAATCCTGTCTCCTGCCTTCACATGATTCATTGTCTCCCTTTAGTTAATAACAATAATAAGTATCTTTTCCTTTAATTCATATGCTCAGATTAAGGGCCATTAAATAACAAAGTTTTATTAATATTTGTTATGCTAATGAAGGGATTAAAGGAGTAAAAGACATGATTCCTGTCTCAAGGAGCTTACATTATAGTTTGAAGACAAACTGAGCACACATTAAATAAATGGAAATCAAATAGATGTTAATAGGTGCTGTTGCTTTATTAGCAATAAAGATCAAAAAAGTTGCAGAATACTTCCCTGTTTGATGCTAATATATACTACATTTTATAGTAGTATGTTTTATGTTTTTTCACAAAGGTCTTCTGTGTTTATGTTAAATCTCTGATTAATTATAAAGATTGTTTTAGAAATTGGTCGCTATTTCTACATTGAATAAATATTTACCAACGAAAAACTGTTGGCCACTCTGCATGCCTGGCCACTTGGAAACTAGTTCAAACTCAGGAGGAGGAGTTTAGTTCATTAGTCTTGGATTTTGTTAAGTGCGTTAAAGTATATGTCAGATCTCTGCTGCTAATTTATTTGTGAGTTTGGGAACTCCTTCAGTAAGAAATGAAACTTCTCAGGAGGTCATTTGCTGAATAATGATTATCCATGTTTCTTCTTCGTTTTACCAGAAAGGGGCAATGTAGCCCACTTTTTGAGCCCTCTTTCAATATGGGACCGTACCTTCTGTAATCGTTAAATTAAATAAATGTAACTTTGTCTTGGTTTTTGCACAATTGCAGTATTAATGTAGAGGGCTCCCCATCCCCGCTTCCCTTCCTGTGTTTTCCAGGCAGTCAGATGCCTCCTCAGCCACCTGGGAGCCAGTCAGAATCCAGTTCCCATCCTGCCTTGAGCCAGTCACCAATGCCACAGGAAAGAGGTCAGTCTTCAGTTCATATCTTATATATCTTTGTGTTTTGAGTATATAAGACTTACATGAATTTGGTCATCTTTCCATCTCCTTGTAGATAATGTTTCTTCATCAGATGAACAAAATAAGAACATACGTACAACAAATATGGAAGAGAAGGATGCTTTCTTGCAGATTAGGTGAAGTTTGACCAAGCACAGTTCAAGACGCAAAGAATATATAGGTCCACATAGCACCCATGAAGCATAGTTTATACATGACTATAGTCTGACAGTTGATCTAGCCAAGTAAAAGTGACTGTTAATGATGCGATTTGGGTATCAGTCCTAATGAAGTAAAATGTTGGAGTGTGTGTATGTTCAGCTGTTTTGATCAATTATATATCCCAGGATACTTAAACAGTAAAGATTTAAACACAGAGTAAGACCTTGTATTATACAATTGTAGTATCTTAGAACTAGAGCCAACCCGAGAGATTGTAGAGTCGCATCACCTCAACTTAACAACTAAAGAAACTGAGGACCAGAGAGCTGGTCATACTATCCTCGTTGTCAGAGGATAGTTAGGGCCAGAGCCAGAAAAAAGAACACAGGCTTTTCCTGAAGCCCTTGGACACGTGGGTTGTCCCACATCTGCAGACTCTTTGATCTTTAGCTCAGTTGTGCACATTCACCCCACATATTATTGCCTTGGTTGCGGCCTTTGGCCCTCATTTGTTTATGTCTGTCTACTTTCTCTCCTTCTGTAGTAAAGCTGCTTTTGTTGGTGCTGATTTTCATCCAGACTAGTGCAGACCAGGGTTTACACGCCTACCACACCTACCACACCACATGGTGCTGTGTCAACGCACTTCCCCCGCCAGTGAGCCAGTGGGAGCACGTGAAGCGTGTCACTTGTGCTCTCCCTCAGGCGCATCCAGAAGACGGAAGTGGCTAGCTTGGTAGCTGCTGTTTAAAGGCTCCCGCCCCTCACTCTTATAATTATGCCTGTATGAGTTGTACAGATGATGATTTGCTTCTAATTGGAATTAAAAGGTTTCAGTTATTTTACATGTTTAATAACTCAGCGCCTCATGCTTTTAGAAAGTAATGCCAGTCAGAAGATGGATTAGTCCTAGCTACGTATCAATTGTGTTAAAATGAATATTTAGTAGGAATAAAGTGAAATTTTTATTTTCTGATACCGCTACATATTTAACTTTTTAATTATAATTTAATGTATAGCTAACACATTAATTCCCTTATTGAGATACTACAGTATGTCTTGCTAATGGGATAGTTAATGGTTTTCAAACTACAGGGTGTATAGGAATTACCTGGAGAACTGGTTAAAAGAGACTTCTGGGCCACACACAGCCCCAGATTTCTGACTCAGTAGGCTTGTGGTGGGCCACTTAAGATCTGCATTTTGGACACGTTCCCAGCTATTGCTGATGCTGCTGATCTGAGGACCATACTTTGAGAACCACTGCCTTAATGATACTATAATGTGTTCTGATAATTGTGTGGTATGTGCACTTGTTTCTCTAAACTTCCCACTGAATCCTCCTGCGAACCAGTCTTGCACCTCACATCCTTTTTCTGTGTTAACTCCTCGGGTCTCTGGTCCTCTGGAAGTTCATGGAGGGCATCCTGGCACCATGCAAGGGGGAGTTCTCTCCAAACTCCTTCACTTGCCCTTGGGTTGCACCTGCATTGTGTCGCCAGGTCAGGGAGGTGGAGAAAATGAAGCATGAGAGACACTGTCCTGCACTGGAAACCTGCTCGGGCCAGAGCCAGAGCTAAGATGAAGACATTTGTCATTTCCTTTAACGCTCACCATAACCCTGTACCGCCATTCCCACTGGGGGAGTCCACTTCTCCGGCAAGCATCCGAGGGTAAGAGGTTCCCTATTTGGAAGTACTACAATTCTCACCTTTATTGCTAAGAATTAAAAGAGAGAAACCCCTTCCAGATCGTCCAGCAATGTGGCCCCCAACCTCTTGCAGCTAATATGTGTTTAAGAAATTTGAAAATGTAGGGCGCCTGGGTGGCTCAGTCAGTTAAGCGACTGCCTTTGGCTCAGGTCATGATCCTGGAGTCCCTGGATCGAGTCCCGCATCGGGCTCCCTGCTCGGCAGGGAGCCTGCTTCTCCCTCTGACCCTCCCCCCCACCATGTGCTCTCTCATTCTCTCTCTCTCAAATAAATAAATAAAATCTTTAAAAAAAAAAAAAGAAATTTGAAAATGTAAAAAGCCAAATGTGACCCATGCTGACACAATGAGAAAACACAGTTAAATTAAACTTTTAACTTAAACAGGCACCTGGTGGTGCAGTCAGTTAAGCATCCAACTCTTGGTTTTGGCTCAGGTGGTGATCTCAGGGTCCTGAGATCAAGCCCCACGTCGGGCTCTGCGCCCAGCATGGAGTCTTCTTAGGACTCTCTTTCACTCTCCCTTTGCCCCTCCCTCCTGAAAATAAATAAATAAATCTTAAAAAAAAACTTTTAGCTTAAACAAATACATTAGCAAGCAAAATCTAGAGTTTTCTTCTGGTGTCACTATGTAAAAACCATTGTGTAGATATGTTATTTTTTTTCCATCTTCATTGTATATAGTGTGGTTTTGGTAACTGCTAATGGATACATAACAATCTGGGTAGTTATAATGTCCATTTCCTTCAAATAGCAAATATAAATTTTATAATTTGCTAAATCTGAACTGATTTTTATGAATATGTTCCCCAAACTTCCTCTGAAAGGCTGCTAAAGATGTTATGTGCATCCCTTATGTGCCTTTTGTCGGATGGACAGCCCCCTAAACGGGAAAACTTTGTATTTCCAAACAGCTCGTAAATGATGCTTTGCCATGGGATGCCTGGGTGGCTCAGTCGGTTAAGCATCTGCCTTCGGCCCAGGTCATGATCCTGGGGTCCTGGGATTGAGCCCCGTGTCAGGCTCCCTGCTCAGCAGGGAGTCTGCTTCTCCCTCTCCTTCTACCCCTCCCCCTGCTTGTTCTTTCTCTCTCTCTCTCTCAAATAAGTAAAATCTTTAAAAAAAAAAAATGATACTTTGCCATGCGTGAGTTAAATTTCTACCAAAATTGGACAGCAAAAAAATTTTTTTTTTGATGGCTTTGTTATTTGTTAAAATCTAGGAAGAAATGTTAATTCTTAATGATATTTGATCAGGTATTTTAGTGACAAATGACACAGTCATTATAATGCTTTGATAGAATATAACATTTTTCTTGTCTGTTTTATCATCATTGGGTGTGTACCAACAGTATATACAGTACAAAGTAGATTTGAGAAAACACTTGCTAGAAAATTCCCCGGTGTTGAAAATTCCCCATGTATTGAAAAGTAATTTAGCTTCATGTATTCCTTTACAATTGATATATCCACCTGCCCCTATTGAGGGAAGTGAGGAAAGAAACAGAGAGGAAAAAAGTATGTTGATGAGTTAGCATCTTCAAAAAAAAAAAAAAATTCGCTTAGAAACCATGGACCTTGATAGACAAGAACATAGCTCCTATGCTGCTGAGTACTAAAATAACCAAGTTGAGCAATTCCTTTTACACTTATTTTGTTTTAATAAGTAAGATTAAGATAAGAGAGTAAGATTCCAGTTACACACATCTTTAATGTATCTACGGGGGGAAGTGCCTGGGTGGCTCAGATGGTTAAGCATCTGCCTTCAGCTCAGGTCATGATCCCAGGGTCCTGGGATCGAGGCCCACGTCGGGCTCTTGGCTCAGCGGGGAGTCTGCTTCTCCCTCTCCCTCTCCCTCTGCCTCTCCCCCTGCTCATGCGCTCTCTCTCTTTCGCTCTCTATTTCTGTGTCTCAGGTGAATAAATAAAATCTTTAAAAAAATAAAAATCTACAGAGAATAGATTTTCTCTAATAGGAAAAAATCTAGAAACATACTTGCCTGGAGACAATGGCACAAAGCAAGAGATGCACCCTACTTCTGTTTGGTGGTGTGGTTTCCTGGTTATTCCCCAGAGTCCTCATGAAAGACAGCAGGACTGTTAACGCTACTCAGAAGCCTGGCTCCCCCCAGGCTCAGGAAGCTGAACTCTTGCCCTGCCATCATTCCTTCCTACTTGGTCCTTGGATTCCTGTGCAGGAAGACCATGTCTTAATAAACTCTATACTCTGTTGAGAATTTTGCAAACCTCAAGCTGTCCTGGGATCTGAACCACATTTGTATCTGCAAGGCCATGTCCTCTTCCCAGAGCTGGTTGCTGAGTCAGGTGCAGAGTCGGTATGCTGCCCAGATTCCCAGCAGCCCTACAGTGCCCTCCGATCTGGTGGGTCTGGGGCCAAGTCTGTCTAAGGTCATCAGTCACAAATCCATTTCCCCACATTGTATGTATGCAAACATAACTGAGTTTCTGCAGTTTTATATTTTCCATCTACAAAAGCTATGTTTGCAAGGAAATATGGATATGGCCAGTGTCCCCAGGTACAAAGAAAGGGAAACATTTTAGGTATTTATTGGCCTCTTTGCTGTCCTATAGTGCTGTCCCTACACTCTGATCTGCTCTCCCATACAGCACCTGGCTTAGCGCTCTCCTCTTTGCCCCTCATGTGGTGCTAGAACCTCCTACTAACTGAATAAAGAAAATGAGTTCAAATTCTTTGGTCTTAACTGCTTCATTATTGATGTAAGTTTAAAAGAAGAAAGGTCAAAACTTCAGTTTAGTCTTCTGTAACACATTCGCCACTGGGTTTTATCTTAAATCTTCTCTCTGTAGTCCTCACATAACAAAATGAAGAATTGCTGTTAAAGCCCTTCACCAAAAAATCAAGCAGTATAAATTATGCCACCCAAGGCATTGGAGAAAGCATCCAGATAATGCTAAAAAAAACTAAAATAAATGTTACGAGAAAATCTTAGCTAACAAGTTTAGGTTAGTTTTATCCTTCTTGTATAATCTTCAACTTGTATATCTTAAAATTTGAAGAGAGCAATAGGAAATGGCTTCCTAATGTGTTGCCCTGTTTTCCAAGAGGGCTTGGAGG